AAAGTATTGGAAATTTCTAGATTTAATCTGATTTAACTTAAATATAACTTACTCTTAACTTTTTTTTTTAGATGATCCTCATTCCCTAATAGGCATTAGTTTAATACTTGGTTTTGTATTTATGCTTCTGGTTGATCAGTGTTCAGCTAGAAGAAGTGGAGGAAGAGAAAAGAGTGTTACTGCTACTTTGGGTCTTGTAGTTCATGCAGCAGCTGATGGAGTAGCATTAGGAGCTGCTGCAACTACATCACAAGCTGATGTAGAATTAATTGTTTTTTTAGCAATAATGCTGCATAAGGTAAAAAATAAATTGATTAACGTTATATTTAAGAAAAATAATGTTATAAAAGTTTATGGAAAATTATGAATAAGTAAGTCAAAAACTTTTCATAGGCACCTGCTGCATTTGGTCTGGTATCATTTTTACTACATGAAGGAGTAGATAGGAAAAAAATTGGTAGACATCTTTTAGTATTTTCTTTAGCTGCTCCTTGTCTTGCTCTTCTAACATATTTTGGTATTGGGAAAGTAAGTTGCTTTAAATTTAAATAGTTAAATTATTATTACTTGTAAATACTCAGTACTTTTTAAACACTAATATAAAATTATTATTTTTTCAGGAAGGAAAAGAAACACTTAGTAATGTTAATGCAACTGGAGTAGCAATGTTATTTAGTGCTGGTACATTCCTATATGTTGCAACTGTACATGTTCTACCAGAACTAATGACAAGAAATAACAGCAACTATACACATCTACCAACTGCCGAAAATGTTACAGTATCGTCTGGACTTAAAGTTAAAGAAATATTAGTTTTAGTAATGGGCTCATTTTTACCTGCATTAATTACAACTGGTCATCATCATTGACAAAATATGATACAAAAAATACATTTGTTTTTTCACTATGTGTACTATAAAATGTCCCTCTCATTAAAGGGTATAATTTTTTAACACTCTCCATGATTTTTCTATAAAATCATGAAACGACATCTGGAAACTGTCAATTCAGACGTCTGTTTTAATAACAATCAAGAGATATACTTTTGTACATAATTGTAGAAAGGGCATATCATAATTACTATACTTTTGTATAAATTTAAAGGTAAAAGTATAAGGTACAAATTTATGTAAAATAACAAAAACACTGAATAAGTTTCCATTTTTCAATGAAATTTCGTAAACATTATTTACTGGTAAACGAAAATTTTGATACAAATACTGAATTAAACGTCTTTCTTTTCACACTGCTGCATGTTATTTGTATTGTAATATATTTTTTAGAATCGAATCATAAAAAGCGCGTTTTCAGAAATACATTTTACATTTTGTAATTTAGCAG